GAGTTTTTGCTACAGAGAAACAGAAACCCCATTCATTAGCCCAATTCTCTACTTTTTTAACAGCATTCTGCATACACTTCTCCACATGCCCCACATTGCGCCCTCTTTTCCACAGCGCACCGTCATCTGCATACAAGGACCTTCCTATCCCCATGTCTATCTGTGTAAATATATCATCAATCATTAGATTAAACAGAACAGGACTGCTAACACTTCCTTGAGGTGTTCCATTCTCTACTGGATATATCTGAGATAATGCAGAACCCACTCTAACTTGTATAGTTCTTTTAAACAAGAAATTCTTGATCCAATTATTATACATTCTTCCTTTTATTTCCAGTCTTTCTAATTTTATTAAAAGTCCCTCTTTTCACGTCATGTCACCTGCTTTTTCAACATCGTAAAATACTCCTGCTAACACGTTCTTGTTTACTTGTGCCTTTCTTATTTCTGCTTCCAAGCAGAGCACAGAGAACCCACTCTGGTATGGGGAGAAAAGGTGTATCTTCTCAATGTCATGCACCAGTCTACTCATGACCATACGCTCCATCAGTCTGCAGAGATTCGATGCTAATGCTAGGGGCCTGTAGTTATTTGGTTGTGTATGATCTCAAAATTATATATAGTGAATTCTCTGATAGATGTTTAACCATCTCATAACAAATATCATCTCTTCCAGGAGAAGTTTTTGAAGTTTTTTGCAGCTGCTTTGTCTCGTATACATCTTTCTCTCCTCCCGCCTCCTCGACTAACCAATCCTACCAATCCTGGCGACGGACGAGCAGCCTGCGATTGGATAGTTGAGACGTCAATCAAACAAGCGTAGCAACCGAAGCAAACAGTGACGTGGCCTTCGGGAGAACGCGATTGGCTGGCTCCTCTCGTGCGTCAAAGTTGACGCGTTTCCACGGAAGTAACGAAGGCGGAAGTAAGCAGCACAGTGATAAGTTTGGGGTTTTCGTCTGAAGTACACGCAGAGGATTTGTTGGATATGTGTGTTTGTGTGTGTGTGTGTGTGTGTGTAAGTGTGAGTGTTTGTGTGTGTGTTTGTGTGTGTGTGTGTGTGTGTGTAAGTGTGAGTGTTTGTGTGTGTGTTTGTGTGTGTGTGTGTGTGTGTGTAAGTGTGAGTGTTTGTGTGTGTGTTTGTGTGTGTGTGTGTGTGTGTGTAAGTGTGAGTGTTTGTGTGTGTGTTTGTGTGTGTGTGTGTGTGTGTGTAAGTGTGAGTGTTTGTGTGTGTGTTTGTGTGTGTGTGTGTGTGTGTGTAAGTGTGAGTGTTTGTGTGTGTGTTTGTGTGTGTGTGTGTGTGTGTGTAAGTGTGAGTGTTTGTGTGTGTGTTTGTGTGTGTGTGTGTGTGTGTGTAAGTGTGAGTGTTTGTGTGTGTGTTTGTGTGTGTGTGTGTGTGTGTGTAAGTGTGAGTGTTTGTGTGTGTGTTTGTGTGTGTGTGTGTGTGTGTGTAAGTGTGAGTGTTTGTGTGTGTGTTTGTGTGTGTGTGTGTGTGTGTGTAAGTGTGAGTGTTTGTGTGTGTGTTTGTGTGTGTGTGTGTGTGTGTGTAAGTGTGAGTGTTTGTGTGTGTGTTTGTGTGTGTGTGTGTGTGTGTGTAAGTGTGAGTGTTTGTGTGTGTGTTTGTGTGTGTGTGTGTGTGTGTGTAAGTGTGAGTGTTTGTGTGTGTGTTTGTGTGTGTGTGTGTGTGTGTGTAAGTGTGAGTGTTTGTGTGTGTGTTTGTGTGTGTGTGTGTGTGTGTGTAAGTGTGAGTGTTTGTGTGTGTGTTTGTGTGTGTGTGTGTGTGTGTGTAAGTGTGAGTGTTTGTGTGTGTGTTTGTGTGTGTGTGTGTGTGTGTGTAAGTGTGAGTGTTTGTGTGTGTGTTTGTGTGTGTGTGTGTGTGTGTGTAAGTGTGAGTGTTTGTGTGTGTGTTTGTGTGTGTGTGTGTGTGTGTGTAAGTGTGAGTGTTTGTGTGTGTGTTTGTGTGTGTGTGTGTGTGTGTGTAAGTGTGAGTGTTTGTGTGTGTGTTTGTGTGTGTGTGTGTGTGTGTGTAAGTGTGAGTGTTTGTGTGTGTGTTTGTGTGTGTGTGTGTGTGTGTGTAAGTGTGAGTGTTTGTGTGTGTGTTTGTGTGTGAGTGTGTGTGTGTGTGTTTGTGTTTGCTTGTGTGTGTGTGTGTGTGAGTGTGTGTTTGTGTGTGTGTGTTTGTGTGTGTGTGAGTGTGTTTGTGTGTGCGTGTGCGTTTGTGTTTG